GTTACATGTGGTGTCAAATTTTGCACATTCATCAAAAACACATTAAATGGTGGTGTAGTATAATTACAAGCTGTAATATTTGTGACCAAGAAGGGAGGCATTGTTGCAATTGCATCCTCAATGTTATCTTTGCAATATATGGCTTTCTCGTCGAAATTCTGAATAACTAAACCCGACAAACTTCTAACTCGACTTAAAGCCACATATGCTTGACCAGCTGCAAAGATTTTCTTCAGCGAAACTACGGCTTTATCCACAGTAAGTCCTTGGACTTTATGGACTGTACAAGCCCAGGCAAGCTTTAGCGGAAATTGCCGGCGCAATCCACCATGTTTAGTCACCCTTTCCTCTTCTGGTTCAATGCCCGTGGAACCCGTTTCAACAGCAGAGGTAAATGCAGAGCAAGTCCTCCTTTTTGTCCCAACTTGATGATCATCAAACTTAACATAAATCATCTTTGGGAACTTATCATCATTATCGGGATAAACTATATGTGTGATGGTGCCACACACACCATTCACTAAACCATCATCAACATCCAGATTTTTTAACAGCATTACACGAGCATCTACTCCCAAAAGCAGGGTCTTATCCAGACACGTATTGTACGTTTTGCTATGATGTCCTTCCTTCAACACAAGCTTGCCTGTTTGCTTACTATGTACAAAATCTTTTGCATCTATCTTAACATAATCAGGACAACTCTTGAATAACTGTAAAACATTATGCTCATTTACTTGTTTGTTGGTAGGAAAAATGTGTAAAGCTGAGCTGACTTCACAACCAGTTTCACACTGCTTTAATAATTGTATATCCGAATCCAGCATGGGGGTCCCTTTTGAACGAGTTCTCACTCTGTTCAACAACTCTGCAAAGACAACATCTTTTTGACGGACAACAGTTTTCAGTTCCGCAACCTGAAACTCAGTCCACAAGCCAACACTAATATCATCTAAATATAAAGCTTTCCCTTTCACTGGAGGCAACTGATAAAAATCCCCAACTGCAATTATGCTAACATTTCCAAACGGGGAATAGCCACCAGACTGTTTAATTTGTCTTAAACGTCCATGGATGTAGGCCAATAGTTTATGATCAACCATGGAGATTTCATCGATTATCAAAAGCTGCAAGTTACTATATTTAGCACGCAAAGAATTGAGCTTTTCCTCACCCAGTGGCGTGTAAGGCAAGCGCACATCTTTACCAATGCCAAATGAACTGTGAATAGTACCTGCATGTAAATTGTGTGCAGCTATCCCCGTAGGAGCAGTTAGCAAAACGCAAATGTCGTCCGGATTGCGACAACCTCTTGACAATAACCTCATTGCCTCATACTGGATAGCCTTTATTAAGTGGCTTTTACCTGTCCCTGCACCACCTGTAACAAAGACACGCAACGGAGCTATTTTTTCACCATTAACCTTACTTAAACACCACTGTCTAATCTGGTAAAAGATAGAGAGCTGTGTGTCATTAAGAGATCTAATTAAGGCCAAGCCATCACTTCTGCACAGTACATTCTGTCTTTTTTCTAAATGAGAAACTTCTCTATTACTAATCGCTAAATCCGGAATACCTTCTACAGGCTCATCTGAAGGTTGTTCACTCTTCCTACGCTCTTCCAAACACTCTAGACGCTCCTGTTCTTGCTCCGGGCAGAGATCACACCAGGCATCTTCCAGAACTGCATCCGTGTCAACCAAATTGTGGATATTATCCAACTTTTCAGCATCAATTTCAAATCTGCTGCGATTTGAATCGACAACTGACTTAACCGAATGCAGCACTCCATCATTCAATCCCACATGACCATGACTATAAAATTGTTCAAACGTTTCAAAACCTGCTGGTTTCAGGTGCATGTCTATGCGAAACGGTAAAAACAATTGCATAATACTCTGATAAAACAATTCTGGATTCTTTGTTTCGGAAAAGTGCGCATAACGAATCACTGCAGGGTCCGAACGTGTTCTTTTCAAAATGAAGCCACAATTGTTATCTAGTACTATCCTGTTAACAGACATCTGGGATTTGCTCAAAACACGATACTCGGAGGCAAATGTTGCCATACACATATCGTTAAAGGTATCGTCTCTTGGCCTATTCTTATATCTGTCAACAGAACTAGTCATCCACATATCTTCCGTGGTAAGGTCATGTGATAATGCCTTTTGTTTTAACATCGATAAAGGCAAACTCATTTTAACAGCATGATCCCCGACTGGAACAAAAACAACTTGCCTAGAACACTCCTTCAGATGCATGCTAGTCAACCTGTAGACAGCCTCTTGTGCACACACATCTCGATTGTGTAAATACACACTTCCTAAGTTTTTAAGTGCATCTTTAGCACTGCTATTTCCCTCCCTAGCAGCTTCCCTCTGTGCATTCCCTAATAATAGTCCTATCTCACGCTCTGCTTTTGAAATGTAGGAAATAATATACACTACACAAGCATACGCGTCGACAACATATTGGATATCAATATTCGCATTCCAACATTTTAAAAGTGGTTTACTATATTGATTAATCCAAACCTCATTGGCTTGCCTTCTTAAAACAACATGCGTCTTCTTAGCACAAATATTGTAGGCTTTTTCAAACATCCTTTGATCTACCTGTACATAATGAAACAATTGCTCTACAGTGTCAAAACTGACATTGTCATCTGAAAGGGCCATTTTAATTTTTGTTGTAATGTTCACTGCCATTGCTTTTTGTTCTAATTTTTTCTGTTTCCTAATTTTGCATGCACAGTCTTCCAATTTTTGTGCTCCATCTTTCTGACATGTGCATGTTTTATCCTCCTCCTCGTCTTCAATAGGCGGGCGAGATATAAAAGTTCTCGCAGACGGGGGCTTAGGAAAATTAAAACGGCAAACAGTTCTATTTTTTTTGCATGTTTTAGAATGCCGTTTGGAATGCTTTTGCACAGATGAAACTATGTCCAATAGTGTCTCATCTTGTGCAGGTAATTCACATGTTACATAATTATCAATAAATTGAATTACCTCTTCATCAGTATTTTTGTCAATTATTGGCGCATTTTCAATCCAAAACAGGCAGTGAACATGTGGTGAACCACGCTGCTGGAATTCAACCCTATAGAAGTAATCTATGACTTTGCCAATGGGATTAGATGGAGACATTAAAACCTCTTTCAGAAAACAATGCCAGCGAAAATCGAACATCCTCGCTGCAGTAACGGGATTACGACGCAAAAGTTCGCATCTATCTGCCCACTCCAGCTCTTCGGCCGTCTCTGTCCTACCTTCCTGTTTCAATATGCTATTCAAAAGATTCTTCCACCGCATATCAGCAGAAGAAAATGAACAAAACCACGTCGGGATCCCCAGCTGACGAACACAAGCTAACAAATCACGCTGCACGCCCTGCCAAAAAGATGGGGTACCTCTAATAGGTTTGAGAAAGCGATACCCATCATCAAACTGCAACAACTGCTTAAACTGTTCTTCATCATTTAATACACTCGTAGTTACATTTTTAAATTGCCCTCCTTTTCCCTTTCGTAATGCTATTGATACACTTGACACAACCTGTTGAACCTCAGACATGTACTGAGCAAAGAAGATGTAATCAACATTTTGTGCAAATCTACCATCAGCATTTAAAATACGGTTATTAAAATAACGGCACAAAGTCAAGCGATGAGGTCTGCTGTCGTGGTATGTCGCAGATCCAGTTGGAAACAACACCGGGAAACATTTTGCTTCATTTGAATGATCAGACAACAACTTGACAGGAGTGTTGCCTTCTGCTGGAGCTACATTTAATATGTTATCAAAATACTGATCAAGTGCTTCTTGACCAATGTCAACAGGCATAAGACAAGTGTCCTGAAACATACAATGCTGTTGTCTGTCATGCAGAAGCTCATCTTCCTCAGCAGCTGCATTACTGTCATCATTAGCATTACTATCTACTGCTGCACTATCCTGTTCTGCCACACTCTCTTGTTCCCTACAAAACTCATTTAACCACTCTTCATTAAAATCTACATCCTTATAATGTGCATTATTCTGTTTCAAATACTGCAACGCCTGCTTGATGCGTAGACTATCCACAAACTGATACTCATAATGCCCTTTGTACGTGAGCTTACGCTTCAGTTTGACAGGTAGCAAAGATCCATCCATGTCCGAACGCGGCAGCAAATTGCTCGTCTGCACAATATTAGCAGGAACACACGTTACAGGCCCGTGGACGCCATTTTGCCCACCTTTAGGCAATGCTAGCATCTTCATGAATGGAATATGCAGCGCTATTAAATGTTGCTCTAAACTATTCAAGCATGCTAATTCTGGTGGAATAAAACATGTTGCCAAATTATTCAAAGCACATTCCGGTGGCATATGACCTCTACTAATTTTAGTGTTACAACTGAAACAAATCCACAACTGACCCCTTGCTGAATCTAACCACTGACAAGGCAATACACAATCTGTACTACATTTGTGCAAATATTGTTCACTAATACATTTACCTGCAATTACACTTATTGCTTTTCTTTTACTATAATCCTTCATGCTACACGGTAAAACTTGTTTTCTAAATAACTTTCTAAAACACACACAACAGACAAAATCCGGGCCATCATTGACTTTAGCCAAAAACTGCTGCATAACTAAATCAAACTCTGTCAATTTTGCATTTAAACTTTGCCTCTTCAATTTCATATATGCAACAAGGCGCTGCCTATGCTGACGATTTCCATGATATTTCTTTATACTCCTGGATTTCATATACTGCCTGTGCAATCTATTTTTACGGTATTTAGTTGTACTCATTTCCTTTACTCTGTCCCTGTGAGACTTATTTTTGCGATATTTAGTTTTACTCATTTCCTTTACTGTGTCCCTGTGGACTTATTTTTATATTTTTTTACTATCCTTTTTTTGAGATTATTTTGCGTATTTGTTTTACTCATTTCCTTTACTGTGTCCCTGTGAGACTTATTTTTACGATATTTAGTTTTACTATTTCCTTACTGTGTCCCTGTGAGACTTATTTTTACGATATTTAGTTTTACTCATTTCCTTCACTGTGTCCCTGTGAGACTTATTTTTACGATATTTAGTTTTACTCATTTCCTTTACTGTGTCCCTGTGAGACTTATTTTTACGATATTTAGCTTTACTCATTTCATTCAATTTTTCCTTGTACCCATTTTCTCCCTGATAATTCATTTTCATCTTTTCTAGAAATTCTTGCCTGTTTTGCTGATATTTTATTCTTCTTTGTAAATTATTTTTTTTTACTAAATAGTTAGACAGAGACAACTTACGTATGGATTGGGCATTTTGTTCAACAATGCCTACTTCAGCTTCACAAATTGAGGATGCAACCGAAGTTAAATTGTCTGCACAAACAACACCTTGTTTTCTCAAATTGTACCTAGACCCACCCACTTTGCAATACCCATAGCAACACTGCATGTTTGGCTGCTGAACACAGACAACACTCTCATAATGATTTCCATTGCAATTTTCTAAATAAATCCCCTGATTTGACAACAACTTGGACTTACAACTGTATTCAAGCCAGCGGCCATCACAATAAGTGAATATACTTACTCCGAAAAAATCTGCTGCTGCTTGAATCTCTACTTCTGTGGCCCAACTACCGACATAGGCCATTTTTGACATTGTGAGATATTCCCCCATTGAAGAATACTCAGGTCTTAAAGCACCACCATTGGCTTTCAAATGCTTTACAACAGCAAGCCTGATTTTTCTGTGATGCTTCTGTGTACCACACACAGCCTGACTAACTGCTCTAAAGAAACAGTTACCATCCCCAACTATTTTCTCCTTCAGACAAGGAGCACCCAACAGACCAACTTCTGTCGAAACTAAATCTTCTTTCTCTGACTCAACATTTAACTGTTTGCACAGAGTGTCTACAACTACCCCACAAAGTGGATTAAACTGGAGCCCTTCACTCACAACATCAGCTACAAAAACAACATCTGAATCAACTGCAGCATAATCACTGTTTTTTGCCTTCTTTGATGAAAACCCACCGCTTGATCTTTTGCGCTTAATACTTGTGCAGCCAACTGTTGGCTGAACAGGTAAACCACAGCCCGACTGACTTCCCCTGCTTTCTACTAGTACCTTTGGACTGGAGAATGAATTAACGGGTGGAACTGGACGTCTGGGGATCACACAAACACTAGCAATCTCAAACTGTTTGGGCCGTTTAAATGCTGTTGCGAATTTGCACATGTGCTCAAAAACATCATCAAGGCAAGTGAAACGCACAACAACACTTTTCCCTTCCCCATCCACCATCCCATCTGCACTGCGCGCATGCGAATCAACCACAGCAAAACGACCACCTTGACTGATGACTGCGCACGTATTTCCACCCAATGTCAGAAAACATGTGTCATATTTACTAAACATCTTCTCTAATCCAGATCTGAGACTGGTCGTTACACCAGCTTTTATCAGATCACTTGTCACTTCATTAACAAATCCGGAAACGCAATCCTCATACTGAAAGTCAAACGTTTGTCCATCGATAACAGCCTGTTTGGGCAAATCAGGAACACTAAGCAGTTTCGAAACCTCACTGGTGACATTGCTGTCCCTCAACGTATTGTAAAGATTATCCCCCAAAACAACAACCTTGTCCAGATTGCCAGCCTGCCACGAAAACACACTTTCAATTGAGTGTTTTGCTACAGCTACCAAACTGATAGCCATACACTGAACTCCAGCGTGTTGAAACCGAGAATCTGCCTGATGGAAAGATCCCCTGACAGAACTTGCACTACTCTGCGGACTGCCACCCTCGACTACAGCTGCAGTTGCAACTGTGCCATCAACAGCTACATCTGTCAGCAATGTAGCACTGTCAATGTCAGAATCTGCCTTCACAGACAACCTGCTAATGAGACACCACTCTGCACCCAAAGACCTCTTAAGATCTTGGATATGCACTATCAGGTCACGCAGCGTTGTGTTAAAAACAGCTACAGACCTGCCGATATTAGATGCCAAACCAGATGCATCACAAGTACCACAATCAACTACCACAAAGTAACCATTGTGCTCAATGACAGCACTCACGGCACCGTGGAGGTTCAAGAGACACATTCCATCAGTCAACAAAGGTTCCTGTAGTTTTTCAAGTAACACAGACTCGTCCAAGTGGAAACCTCTGTAGACTGTCGAACCAATAGCTACATTGCACTTCCTGCCAAAAACACTGTGCTGTTTAATGAACTCACATAGCTCATTGTCAAAGCCACTACTCCTATTTGATTGAGCTACAAAACTAGCCAACTTCTTGCCTTCGAAACAGATCTCATCAATATCTCTGCCTCGCCATGTACACACAGGAGCAATAACATGTTTAAGCGCAGCAACAACACTGCACGCAATAGACACATCAGTTGTTGACGGCGCAACCATTACATTAGTACCAGAAACATCCTCAGTTGTCGGCGCAACTCTGACATTAGTACCAGAAACAACAGCCACATGCTTTCTCTCTGCACACCTGCAAGAGGGAGGGATAGCATCAACCTTACTTTTGATGAATCTTGATGGGGGCTGGATAGGAGGACCTGACCTGCTGACCTCCTCCACCACAACCTCTCCCACAGCACCTGGAGTTGCATCCCCCTAAATAAATCCAGAAAAAACATTAACAAAACTGTCATTTTGGTATTTGAGAGAACTTGCTAGTCATATACAATAATTTGGAACCATTTGTTTTGACCAATGCACACCAAATTAAACTGATTTAGAATGAAGTGTACCAACCTCCTCCGTTGCAACCTCTTCCACAGCAGTGGTAGATGATGGCTCTGAGGACACGGTCACAGCACTTGGAGTTGCATCCACCTAAAAGAAATGAAGAAAATACATTATCACAACTGTCATTTTGCATTTGAAAGAACATGCTAGTCATAACAATAATTTTCTATGTGTATTACACATTTGTTTGGGCCAAAGGCACACATGCACATAGAATTCAACTGATTAAGAATGAAGTGTACTAACCTCCTCCTCTCCAACCACAACATTGGCAGATGTCGGCCTGGGAGACGCCTCCTCAACACTGGGTGACGCCTTGACCTGTTTACGCAAAAACAAAACCATGTAATTCATTATTGTTTTCAATCATTATAATTATTCATGTACTAAACAAGTAGAGTAAGGACAATCTTGCATTAGTGGTGCCTACCATTTATACTGCGCAATTCAATGATTACATTTATGAAATCAAAACAAACCTGGCACATTGCAAGTCTCCTCTTGCAGGCGACACGCTTCACTCTTGGCTCCACGCTTGGTGTCTGGTGTAAGAAAATCAAACACACTTTTAGAACAGATATAGGAGTGTTTTAAGGGAAAGAATACAATTTGCACAAAACTCATCAATCAACTCATCGCTCATTTTCAGCTTACCGTTGCGTCTTGTGGAACAGCTGGGCTGTCAGGGCTCGGAAGTTGTGCTGGAACCACAGCATCCATTGCAGCCAACATGGAAGTGCTGAACAGGACAGGATTCAGTGGGATGAAACACTCCTTCAGCACAATTGGACATCCATCCACCTGTGAAATACACATAGAAACACAATGTTACTCACAGTTGCTATTGAGTGCTATCAAAGTGCATAGATATACAATCAATATACATATGTCAACAATTCATGTCACGGTAAACTACAAACCTGATGCCGAACCACGCGCCGTTTTGATGGACTACAGAGCTGTCCCTCAGATTGGATCCTCTGCAAGGACAAATAACAACGACTTTATTAAAATGAATGCATGCTGAACGTTTTTGAGTTGACTATTTAGCAAAAATCAGTGGGAAAAACACAAGTACAGAATGCAAATATTACCTTCTTGCCCTTCACCATTTCCATCCAGACATACGGGTCTGGGGGGGGAGACGAAGGGGGAGCAGCGAAGACCTCTTCCTTCACGAGCAACCTTGGAGGGGTCCTTGGAACTGGGGACGGTGTTCTGGGAGCCTCCTTCGCCTTTGGTGCTGGCACCTCCAGTTGCTTGTAGGCAGCGTCCCACAGCACCTTGGAAAGAATCTCCATGCCATCGTCGTCGCTCAAGTGAACCTGAAATGTTAGAATCATACATTCAGTAAACATAACATTGACTTTCAATACATGTCTATTATAAATTCAACTGCAAATAACTGAAATGAAAAGATCTCGTTTGCACACAGTATATGCTACTTACACTATCTCGGACCCACAGATCCAGCTGACTGAACGGGAAATGTTCAAACGTGGAGTAGTATGCGATACCTAAGAAATAGAAAATTGTTATGAATCATTAATATACTTACATATATCAACTTCAGCAAAATAAGAAAGCATAAATCTATTTGTAATACATTGTAATGTTCAGTCAAACACTATCTGAGAAAATACAACTCATAAAACATGGAACTTCAAGATCTACTCGAAACATACCCATTTTCTGCGCCACAGAATGAAACTCCCGGCTCATGTGCTCCTGCAGTTCTGGTGCAACGGTCAGACGTGGAACAAAGTCCACCACAAACACCTAAAACACAGAACAGCAGTTTTTAGACACAAATCTAGTTTTGGTCAATATGACCATCCATTTAAATACATATACGTTATACTACAACACCTCATTTCAGAATTGTCATTACTGAACAAAACTTATAATGTTACACAGAATCAACAAAATAACTTACATTTGCACAACGCTGACAAGCACTGAGCAAAAGCTCCCGGAACTCTTCTCCGGCCACCTCGTGGGTACTGCTGGTCGTCAGGTTGTTGCCGGGGGCCAAGATGCACACTGCGTCAGGTGTCCTCGGCAGCACTGCATGGATCAGCTCGGCCCTCAGATGACACGCGCTCGCCCCTGGGGTCGACATGATGCCAAAGGAAAGGTTTCCCTTCGAAAGCCCGACAGTTCCATCAGCAAAGGGACGCAGATGTGAATCCCCCACGAGAAGGACGAACTGGAAGAATAGAAAGAACCTATTTAGAAATCACTCGTCACAATTTACCCCGAATATTTGTTCACAAATTCAAAAACAATAGATTACCTTCTTCTCGGGAGAATGAGCAGGAACCACCAGCTTGTGTTGCTTTCCAGACACCGACCTGTCCCACTCTTTCACACGACGACGTTTCCCTGTACCACGGCCTATTAAGGGAAAGACATATATTACTTATCTGGATTACACAAATATTGACCTAATTTACAAAAACTTGTGCACATTGAACTTCGTGAAAAGGGGGGGAACACATCTGGCTACTTACGTGGAACAAACTCAGGACCTGGTGGCAGAAGGTCCACATCGAATGGTCGTTCACCTGCCCATCTCCTCTTGGCAGCCTGAGAACGACGGTAGCCCTTCCCGCGTGGCATCTAAAAGTATATAATAGAATTGATTAGTGATAATAACAACAAAACACTATATGCTCAATAGCTAATTAAGATTGTAAAGAACTACTGAAACCAGTCATAAATTCTGATTCTTAACTACCACAGTATGAGTAAAGTCAGCTGCCATGTGCAAACCATGATAAGCAGAGATGCCATACACATTCACAGCTTTTATACACAGATACTAATAGCTGCTATGACTGTTTCATAAACTCCTGCTTGTTAACAGCACATTACACATCCTTTCTACATCCTGACTTAGACAAAGAGAGCAGAACCACTTGTGACCACTTGTGTATGATGGACTAATACAAGGTGTGATAGGGTGTGGCATTCAGAAAGTGTGCCTCTCTTTCATACACAGATTACAATGTATTCACACATAATTAGTGAAATCATGGCCATTACTTATGTTAATAGCTCTGTGATTGCCATTCTTCATTAACATAGTTGTTTGACTGAAACAACCATTGAAACTACTCAGACTACAGTTGGTTTCTTTATAACTACTTTACTTACTATTTGTGCTATTTACATTACACTAAATCTCTTTCCTCACTTTACTTCTACAAACTCCACATTACTCAATAATTGTAAAGACAACAAATCATTCAAAAGAAACATTTCCATTTCTAGTTTCAAATCTTGGCTATGCCCATTCATATATATCAAACTAAATACAGATAGTACTGTGAGAATTTCTTTCCATACATTACACATACATACATCCAGTACATTTATTATGTTCAACATTGCCATATATATATACTATACTAGATATAGTTACACACATATTTATAAATACCTGTGTTAGGCCTCAGCTTCTTGTGCTGAGTACATACAGTGCTAGTAACAACATGACTAAAACTAAAACTACTGTTCATTCTTTACTAAACAACAGTTCACATAAAATCAACTACAGGCAATCATACAACATTAAATAAACTCACCGTAAGGAGAACAAAAATCACGTAGTTCAAAACCTTGAAAGGGGTTGAAAAAATCTCTCTCACACTGTCTCTAAGCCTTGCAAATGCAAACACAGCTCCTCTCCTCAGTTCTGCAAAAAGCAAGACCAAGTCTAAACTTTGAACAAGCCATTTATACCTTATCACCAAACAAATTCAGCCAATCACAACGCAGGACAGAAAGGGGGCGGGACATCAACACAAACACCTGGAGAAACAATATTGTCAAACTTGTGTCAATGATCGCAATCTTAACTTTACAACAAAATTCATGTCATAATGACATTCATTGTAAACTTAAATACAATTTCATAACTTACCAAATTACCCAAACACAACTAAAGTACAAAACACTTTACCATATAATGAAATGATTCTATTACTGACACACTTACTTATTGTTATAAAGATCAAATTCTTCAGACATGCCTTAGTCAATGTTACATTTCAATGTTCCTTGAAATATATGTTTTTAGTTCATAACTTTTTGCTTCTCACTATACATTATCAATCTCATTAAAAAAATACACAAAAAATCACTGAAATATGGGTTTTATTCATGACATCTGGGTCACTTTCACAATACAAACCTCACAATGAAACATCATACAAACATAACACAAACACATACATAACTACAATTATATATAACAATGTACTACAAAAAGTTACATTAACTCCTAAAAGAGACTCCTTTCACTTCTATCAGGTCATCTCCATCTCCCAAACTGATATTGACTTGTAAAAGTAAATCCCATGCAGTCATTATTTACTGATTTCAAATAAGCTCCACAGATGCTGAACATTATCACACATCATTATATTGTGGAAAACTGGACACTACTTTGCTTTTTCATGACAGTCTGTGGTTAAGATCATCTTTCTTGGACCAATCTTTCATGTACATTTCTGTAATATAGCTATATGAGCTAGCAGTACACCATTCATGTACATAGCTTTTACTTTCCTTAAACTCAATGACATGCAACACATTACTGAATGAAAATCATGCATTGCTCAGCACATCAACAGTACTCCTATAGATCTCTAAATACAATTGTTTGTGAACACCACTGATAGCTAAACATCACATTATTTCCATATAAATGCACAAAATGGCTGCTGGAACTGATTGTTATGCAACTATGATGACATTCCTTACTGAGACAAAGAGAGCAGCACCAAACTGACCAATTGTGAGACTATGGATGCTGCAGTCGTACAAGGTGTGATAGGGTGTGGCATTCAGACAATGTACCTTTTGAAGAGAGACTATTGCAGACAAAAGACAATCATTGACTGAATATAATTGCAGCTGCTCAGCATACTGTTGTTGACCTTTTCTCGCCAATATGTATAGCAGCAATTTAGACCAACAAAGCCACAACCTGACATTCTTATAAAAACAAACTGTAGATGATGAGTTGACCTATTTGTGACTGTACGTCAAACTGCGTGCCACTGATCCCTTGTCGAATTCAGATGATTTTCCATTAAACGGCACTGGAAACTTCAGTGTGCAATGTCCAATTTCCAATTAACTTCATATATTCTGTAACAATCTCGCCGTGAACACGTCCTCATTGCATCAGCCTACGTATTACAGTCCCGCCCTGAACTTGTCTACGTGACAAGATTCAGATACAGTGAAAGCACAGCATACTGGCAACAGGAAGGAAGCGCTGCGTGGCGATACGGAGCTGATTTGGAGCAGATTTACGTGACGTGTTCGCGTTGCGGTCCGCGCTTGTTACGACGGCACGTGCGTGGCCTCGGCGCACCCCGACCGCACGTGACGCCTTTGCGGCGCGCCCCGACGAGCGCCGGGTGCGAGGTCCCGCCCAACGCTGCTTGCAGCTTTAATTAGGGACCGAGCCAGTTCACTGAACTGGAAGGTCTCTATTGTTTTTTTTGTTTATTATTATTATTATTATTTTTCAGCAACTTTGAGCGCATTTTTCACCCCCTTAACAATTATAATATTCGCATTTTATTTGGCACATTTGTCAAGCCTCATTTAAACTTGGAGATTCTATGCGTCACATGCAGGTCAGCCACTAGGTAGGCCACTAGGTGGCGCTATTTGTAGGCCAATTTTGAAAGGCTAATAACTCCCGCATAGTTTGTCTCACATTCAAAAACCTTATATCCACGCGTTCGGTGAATGGAGCTGAACCTCCCCATATAGGCCACGCCCACTTCCGCCTAGATTTTTTTTTTTCTAGAGCGCAAAATGTCCATAAATCACTTTTTTGTGTTCATCCTACACACTTTGTCCGATTCGCACGAAATTTTGCACGTATCATCTGTGGACCGTCCTGACAACAAAAGTAATTTGAAGAATTTTGATATTTTAAAAAATAAGGAAGTTATAAAATTAGCACTTCCTGTTGATTTTTCGTCAAAAAAGGAAGTGGGGTATTTCTCCACATTGGTATGTCCGATTTACACCAACCTTGGGTCCATAGTTCCCCATGTCTTCCTTAGGCATCGTGCACAATTTCAGGTCATCACCACAAGGTGGCGCTCTTTAAAATGAAGGAGTTTATAGCTCTACAACGGTATGTGTGATTAAGATGAAACTTGGTACGCTGCTTCCCCATGGCTCCCTGAGGCTCACCTAAAAAGGAAAAAAATCACGCCACTAGGTGGCACTCTGGTGGCAGGGTAAATTTCACTGTGCGGACACTGTAATAGTTATGAATATGAAATTCACAGGGCACGTGTAGAGTGGTGCCTGAAGCTCACATACCAAAAATCGTGTTTGTCCTGCTTGTAGCGCCCCCTACAGGATAAAAAAACATCAGCCCCGGCGCCACGTTTCACCGATATGTACGAAACTCAATAGGCATGTATAATGTGCCGGGGCGTACAAAAAAGCCTCTTGGACCCATACCTCAAATCCCACAGGAAGTCGGCTATTTTCATTTAAAATTTGCACTTTTGGCAGCCATTTTGTGGTCATTTTGACTCTTTGGGCTTCTTTTAGAACTAACTGCTCCTAGGGAATTTATCGGATCTGCTTCAAAATTGGTCAGTACAGTCAAAACATGGTGCTGAATGAACGCATTATATTTTGTGACTGTACGTTGAAGGGCGTGTCCGTGGCGTGCCCTCAAAGTTGGCCATTTAGAACAAATGTCACACTGTGATGTCATTTTTGCATTTCAGGGCTTCTATTTGAATGATCCCCTCCTACAGCTTCTATCGGATCTTCTTCAAAATTGGGCAGTACAGTCACAACATGGTGCTGAATGAACGCATTATATTTGGTGACTGTACGTTGAAGGGCGTGTCCGTGGCGTGCCCTCAAAGTTGGCCATTTAGAACAAATGTCACACTGTGATGTCATTTTGGCCTTTCAGGGCTTCTATTTGAATGATTTCCTCTGACACGTTCTAACGGATCTTCTTCAAAATTGGGCAGTACAGTCACAACATGGTGCTGAATGAACGCATTTCATTTTGTGACTGTACGTTGAAGGGCGTGTCCGTGGCGTGCTTCAAAGTCAAGTAGTCTTGGCCATTTTGAAGCCCGTGGTCCTGTATTTGAACAAACAAACTCCTTGAGAATTGATCAGATCTGCTTCAAAACTTGACAGTACTCTTGAATAATCTTGCTGATTACAAGTTGTGCTATTTATGACTGTACGTTGAAGGGCGTGTCCCAGGTGTCTCGTCAAAGTTGGACATTTTGAATTCTGTGGTCTTTTTTTTCAAAGTGATGAAACACAAACACCCCTCCGCTCCCACTAGCCACATCTACAAACCATATTTCCTAGGGAGTATTGTTCGTGGAGCATAGTGGGAAACCGCTGGAAGTCACTTATTAAATTGCAAGATAAATAGGGGACTTATCAAATCGACTTCAAAATTGGACAGTCTTATAAAAACAAAGTGTACATGAAGAATTGAGCTATTTGTGACTGTACGTCAAACTGCGTGCCACTGACCCCTTGTCGAATTCAGATGATTTTCCATTAAGCGGTACTCGTAACTTCAGTGTGCAATGTCCAATTTCCAATAAACTTCATATATTCTGTAACAGTCTCGCCCTGAACACGTCCTCATAACATCAGCCTACGTATTACAGTCCGGCCCTGAACTTGTCTACGTGACAAGATTCAGATAAAGTGAAAGCACAGCATACTGGCACCAGGAAGGAAGCGCTGCGTGGCGATACGGAGCTGATTTGGAGCAGATTTACGTGACGTATTCGCGTTGCGGTACGCGCTTGTTACGACGGCACGTGGCGTGGCCTCGGTGCACCCCGACCGCACGTGACGCGTTTGCGGCGCGCCCCGACGAGCGCCGGGTGCGAGGTCCCGCCCAACGCTGCTTGCAGCTTTAATTAGGGACCGGGAGGGTCTCTATTTTTCTTTTTTATTATTATTATTATTTTTAAGCAACTTTGAGCTCGCATTTTTCACCCCCTTAACAATTATAATATTCGCATTTTATTTGGCACATTTGTCAAGCCTCATTTAAATTGGAGATTCTATGCGTCACATGCAGGTCAGCCACTAGGAAGGCCACTAGGTGGCGCTATTTGTAGGCCAATTTCGTTACGCTAATAACTCCCGCATAGTTTGTCTCACATTCAAAAACCTTATATCCACGCGTTCGGTGAATGGAGCTGAACCTCCCCATATAGGCCACGCCCACTTCCGCCTATTTTTTTTTTTTCTAGAGCGCAAAATGTCCATAAATCACTTTTTCGTGTTCCTCCTACACACTTTGTCCGATGCGCACGAAACTTTGCACGTTTCATCTGTGGACCGTCCTGACAACAAAAGTAATTTGAAGAATTTTGATATTATAAAACATAAGGAAGTTATACAATTAGCACTTCCTGTTGATTTTTCGTCAAAAAAGGAAGTGGGGTATTTCTCCACATTGGTATGTCCGATTTACACCAACCTTGGGTCCATAGTTCCCCATGTCTTCCTTAAGCATCGTGCACAATTTCAGGTCATCACCACAAGGTGGCGCTCTTTAAAATGAAGGAGTTTATAGCTCTACAACGGTATGTGTGATTAAGATGAAACTTGGTACGCTGCTTCCCCATGGCTCCCTGAGGCTCACTTAAAAAGGACAAAAAAATACGCCACTAGGTGGTGCTCTTTTGGCATGATAAATCACTCGTAATAGTTATGAATATGAAATTCACAGGGTACGTGTAGAGTGGTGCCTGAAGCTCACATAC